TGGGAACCATACATATATGTATTGAAACCTATGCTTTTTGACTACCCCCTGTAGGAAACCCACAAATTATATACTAGAGACCTTCCCATTGCAGCGAAGACTGCTTGGGATATTGTTCCCGAAGAAAAGGTATAGAATGCTGCAGCAGTGAGGGGAGAAAGTGTTCTAAGTATGGTGTTCACCAAGGTATTTGCGTGTATATATGCAGATTTACCAAAGTAGCAGGACATGTTCTAAGTATATGTGTGTTTAATGTTCTAAGTATGCAAAAAATCAAAGGAGATGTTCTAAGTATCTGTTTTTCTGATGTTCTAAGTGCGTACTTAGAACATTTCTGATGTTCTAAGTGTAGTTGTTTTGATGTTCTAAGAAAAGGTTCCGAAATTTTGGAAAAATTTGGTGTTCTAAGTATATGTCCGTCACTATAATTACATAAGGCGACTTGTCTTTAAGTATCTTTGGGGTGTTCTGTGTTCGCAAATGAGGTGTCCCAAAATGATGTGAAAAGAAATTCGAAAAGACCAGTTTAGGACACTTGTTGAATACTGTTCCTGCCGCTGTCAAAGTTGTTAGAATGCCATTGTCGTTGTTGCAGCTTGTTGGGAAACTGCAACTGCATTGTCTTCAGTTGAAGTTAGCAGTATGGCGAAGCCTCATTACCCAAAAAACATGCTCATCTGCCATCAACTCCTGCAGGGCGGATGGTTTGTCTCTCTTCGTTTCCACGAAAAACAACTTGAACTATTTCATCACATATGCCTATATATATATACACAGAATAAACATTAACCCTGCCACACCGTCCAAACCCGTTGGATGCTCCAGACCACTCCGACGAAACTTGATTTCCCTGAAGAAACAAGATGAACAAATCGGGAGGATTAAAGGGTCTGTGGGTTTGCGCGGGTGTGTGGTGCATATGAACCAATACATGCTCAAGGGGTATGGACAGAATGCTCCCCCAAAAGATTGCTAAATTAATCATCACCAACGTCAAGTTTTGGAGACTGCTTGGAAATGTCATTCCAGCAAATCTTTGTTTGGATTTTCACCGAAACAATCAGGTTTTGAAGGCTGTTTGAATAGTTCGCTGCTTCAAGGCTTTGATAAAACCCGTTTCCAAAATCTTGCATTATGACAAATGCTGGGATTGACCTTCTAATAGATGGTGTCCCTGATGTCTTCACAACCTTGGCGCGGACGCATTCGGCAAGTGGAAGAGGGCAATTGGATGCAATTGGATACAGTAAAGCAGTGAAAAGTGGTTGATATCATCACCAAACTTCTGGGCCTGAAGAATGCTACATTTGAGAGTGCCAATCCAACAACTGCGAAACAAACCAATCTTCAATCTCTGCCATTTCATTTCACTTTTGCTCATCCAGTCTTGAAACACTGTGCAGTCTGTCCCACCGGTGCATTGTGCAGCGCAGATAGAATGCATCCCGGATTGAAGGGTAGGTGCAACCCCAATAAAAATCATCACCTTTCTGTGTTTTGCCAGTCTGGTTGGACGCAATGCGGATTGCACCATCCATGAATCACGAATGGCACCTTCAGTGCATAACGGATTGCACCCGACCTGCAATCCAAAAGTCCTACTGGTCCTACAAGGAACAAAGCACTCTCATTCACACGCCACTGCCACTTCCGCCTTCAGACCTTCTTCAAAAGGTCATGCACTGTGCGGGACACTGCGCAGTAGCGTTGCCCCTCTGCCCGCGCATCCACATAGATGCAATAAGCTCCTTGTTGCCGCACCGCTGCGGCCATGTGCGCAGGCGTGAAGTGCTTCATGAACCGCTTGGCATCGACACACTGCTCGAAGGAGCTATGCGCCACGGCCTTGGCCAAGGTGCGTGCCATCCTCACCTCTTTGGGGCCAAAGCCACCTTGGTTGTCAATGCCCAAGAACTTCTCGACCTGATATTCTTGCACCACAAGCCGTTTGGACTTTGCTTCTTCCCATGATGTCTCTTTGGCCTTTTGCGCCACGTCCTGCAGGAGATGTGGGCAAGTTTCAAGGTTTCAACGTTCGTTGATGTTTCGGGTTGTTGTCCCATGGTTTCATGACCCTTGTCCTCCATTACACCGATGTTGCCACCTGTGAGTTGAATCATGTCGCTCTTGTGCGTGGAGGCCTCTTCACCGCCATGATGACGTAGGAATTCCTCAACCTGACAAGGAGACGTCCATCTGCAAACATCCCAACCCATGCCAGAAGTAGCACCAACAAAAAGCACTAAAGTGATTGAAGGTGACTGAACAATTACCACATGAACTGAAGCTCTTCATTCTGGCCTCCTTCTGCGAGAGTTCTTCACTCGTCAGTGGTGGAACGAAGAATCGGCGCTCACGACCGTCTGCGTCAAAAGCCATGGCTGACACTGCAGAACTGACCATCACCAGCACTTTGGCAACCTCGTCATCAAAGCCCCATGACTTCGCAAAGGCGGAGACGCTGCTCATCACAGATGGCTCGAAGACACCACGAGGAACTTCAAGGATGATGATGGGTTGCCGTCCCATTTCTTGTTTGGCATCTCTCAAGCCACGCATCATCTCTTCTTCATGGAGCACTGCCAACCTGCTCCTCAATGCGTCCTTGGCCAAGTCGTTGTTCTGCATGAGCTTGATGTGGAGCACTCCATTGTTCCACTGCTTCTCCTGCAAGACTTTCCAAAGGATGGTGCTCTTGCCCACTTCATGATTCCCCCAGATGAGGATTGGGCGGGGGTCGTCCAAGTCCAACAACTGGTGCAGTTCGTCCTGCTACAGTGCATAGTGAGCATAGTGCATCAAATTCAAAATGCCAATATGACATGGAATAACACCATCTCAATAACAAATCCCTTCTGTCAAGAAACACACAGGCAAACACAACAAAAAAAAAGGTGGTGCTTGGACGCCTTGATTATCTTCCGTTCAATCTTGACACGTGGCTCGCGTGCTTTGAAAGAGGCATTCACAATGATATTCTTCACTCGCTCTTGTTCTTGACGATGCCGTTCTTGTTCTTGACGATGCCGTTCTTGTTCTTGACGATGCCGTTCTTGTTCTTGACGATGCCGCCACATATCCCATCCAAAGGTCACGATGGCCAACGAGCCACCACCACCAACCAACCACTTTCCAATCTGCTGTTTCGTGGTCGGCTCCTTCTCTGGAGCGTTGTTTGAGAAGCAACGGTGGTTTCGTCGGCCTGACATGAGAAGCCGAAAACCACAACATCGGGCAATGAGGCAACGCGACATACCCATGGCGGAAATCTCCAGAACTGGGACTGTGCTGGAGCTGCGCAACACATGCCGCAAGTAGAACTCATCTTATCTTGTGAGCATTTGTGAGCCTGTCTGCTGCGGGAGAAAGCAATCAACATCTCTGGGTGTAGTGTAATGCCACAATGTGTACATAGAGTGTACATAGTGCCTCAAGAAACGCAATATGTCCTCAAAAGTGATGCTTCCATGCAAACGAAACAGCGCGCACATCTCATCTGGGCGCCCCCGACGAAATCCAGAAAGTCCATGAAGAAGTCCGCAAAAAATGAGGCGAAGCGAAAGACGTTCAAATCAAAACACAACCAAGAAAAAAACACCACCAAAAAGACGAGAATGAGAGAATAAAAAATGAAAGATGTTGAAAGACATGGAACCTTTTGAAAGATATCAAGTTGAATGTTCTGTCTTGAAACTGATGATAAGGAAACACAATAAAATCATACCCAAAAAAAGACAAGACATACCTTGACAATAAAAAACGACAACCACAAGTACACTATCCACAGTATCTCCCTCATCTGAACCAAAACACAAACCCCAACAGCCTAAACAAATCCTACCCTCATCTGAACCAAACATTGACACATCACTTTAGCATCAAAATGACCCCCAAAACCCCACCTGAAAAATCATCAAAACCAAGGATGAAACATTGAACCCCAACACAAAATCATAACAAGCAACATACCAACATACACGCCCTGAAACCCCCATTTTACCATTTTTTTATGGGATATATGGGACATGTAGGGAATTCCTACATAATATGGGAAAAATATGGGACAAATATGAGAAATCTTGGGAATTATAAGGGATACGTACCAGGTATATAGTTATAAAACCAACGATTTTAATATTTTAATGGGATATGTTGCAGGGATATTCCGAACATATATTTGACATGATCAAACCTATATTTCCTAGGACCAATGATGATGGACCAGCTGATGGAATTGAATACCCCAATATCAGGCACCATTGTTCTTGGCCAAATTCCCATGTTTTTTTGGTAAAGTCGTCATTTGTCATGGCAAAATCCTTAACTGGTTGGTGGTTGAGCCACCCCTCTGAAAAATATGAAAGTCAGTTGGGATTATTCCCAACTGAATGGAAAAATAAAATTCATGTTACAAACCACCAACCAGTTAAGTTTCTTGACGATTTATCTTTTCATGGACAAATTCCTCCATGTGTCTTCCTGAAATCCCCATTCGTCGTCAAATTTTTGCTTCTGGCAATGGAACGCGCAGCGGAAAATGGATGAAAATGGATGAAAAAACCATGGACAAAAAGTTTCGTAATAAAGCATGGTAATTTTTGTAGTAACCTCTCCACTTTGGGGTTGATTTTGGTAGAACAATAGTAAACCATCCCAAAATTTACCGTAAATGGGTGGTACAAACCATCAAAATATGGGTAGAGTTGACCCATACCCAAACACCATTTACCCTCTGGTAAACTAACATAGCGAACTCGAAAATCACCATTTTTCATATGCAAACGAACTAAATGGCCATTTCATCATTTTCAATACTGTTAGTCATTACCATTTTGATATTTTGGGTGATAACCAAAAATAACCAAAATATCTGGGTAAATTATAATTCACTAACCTGAAATAAGGCCATTTGGGGATGATTTCCACACCAACATGATTAAAAAAAAAAAACTTCATTTTAACACCGTCATTCTCACCCAACATGGCCATGATTGTGTGGCCTCCATGAGCGGCGTCCGCCCCGCGTTGGCCACATCCGGGTCGGCGCCACTGCGCAGCAGCGCAGCGGTGCATTGCCGGAAGCCCTGACTTGAAAAAAGGACGTTCATGATGGATTTCATGGGATTTGTTGGTGATTTCATTGGTTTTCATGGTGATTTCATGGGATTTGTTGGTGATTTCATGGGATTTGTTGGTGATTTCATGGGATTTGTTGGTGATTTCATGGGATTTGTTGGTGATTTCATGGGATTTGTTGGTGATTTCATTGGTTTTTGGTGATTTCATGGGATTTGTTGGTGATTTCATGGGATTTGTTGGTGATTTCATGGGATTTGTTGGTGATTTCATGGGATTTGTTGGTGATTTCATGGGATTTGTTGGTGATTTCATGGGATTTGTTGGTGATTTCATGGGATTTGTTGGTGATTTCATTGGTTTTCATGGTGATTTCATGGGATTTGTTGGTGATTTCATGGGATTTGTTGGTGATTTCATGGGATTTGTTGGTGATTTCATGGGATTTGTTGGTGATTTCATGGGATTTGTTGGTGATTTCATGGGATTTGTTGGTGATTTCATGGGATTTGTTGGTGATTTCATGGGATTTGTTGGTGATTTCATGGGATTTGTTGGTGATTTCATGGGTTTTGTTGGTGATTTCATGGGATTTGTTGGTGATTTCATGGGATTTGTTGGTGATTTCATGGGATTTGTTGGTGATTTCATGGGATTTGTTGGTGATTTCATGGGATTTGTTGGTGATTTCATTGGTTTTCATGGTGATTTCATGGGTTTTCATGGTGATTTCATGGGATTTGTTGGTGATTTCATGGGATTTGTTGGTGATTTCATTGGTTTTCATGGTGATTTCATGGGATTTGTTGGTGATTTCATGGGATTTGTTGGTGATTTCATGGGATTTGTTGGTGATTTCATGGGATTTGTTAGTGATTTCATGGGATTTGTTGGTGATTTCATGGGATTTGTTGGTGATTTCATGGGATTTGTTGGTGATTTCATGGGATTTGTTGGTGATTTCATTGGTTTTCATGGTGATTTCATGGGATTTGTTGGTGATTTCATGGGATTTGTTGGTGATTTCATGGGATTTGTTGGTGATTTCATTGGTTTTCATGGTGATTTCATGGGATTTGTTGGTGATTTCATGGGATTTGTTGGTGATTTCATGGGATTTGTTGGTGATTTCATGGGATTTGTTGGTGATTTCATGGGATTTGTTGGTGATTTCATGGGATTTGTTGGTGATTTCATGGGATTTGTTGGTGATTTCATGGGATTTGTTGGTGATTTCATGGGATTTGTTGGTGATTTCATGGGATTTGTTGGTGATTTCATGGGATTTGTTGGTGATTGGTTTTCATGGTGATTTCATTGGTTTTCATGGTGATTTCATGGGATTTGTTGGTGATTTCATGGGATTTTTGACGGTGTTTGATTGGGGTGTGTTCGATTGGATGTTCACCTCATCAGGCGCCTTAGCAGAGGCATAGATCAGAGCGGTGTTGCCACTCTCATCCGTGGCATCGATGAGATCGGCGAAGCCTCACGGAAAACCATGGCCTAAAAGCCATCAAACCGTGTCCCACAAAGATCGAGGAAATGATGGAGAACACACAAAGATGTTCGGATATGTTAAGTTTTAAGTCAGAAGATTCAGAATTTGAGGCGGAAAATGGTGGAGTTCAGCGGAAAACGGACATTTGAGCTAGAACCTTGGTCACTTGAGCCAGAAAAACAGGGGAATGTATATTATACATTTATATCTATATTTTTGATATATATATATATATATATATATGATGTATTTGTGTATGTATGTATGTATGTATGCATGCATGCATGCATGTCTGTCTGTCTGTCTGTCTGTGTATGTATGTATGTATGTATGCATGCATGCATGCATGCATGCATGGATGGATGGATGGATGTATGTATGTATGTATGTATGTATGTATAGATAGATATGATGTATACATATATGATGTATATGCATATATAATGTATATGCATATATAAATTTGATGTATATGTACATATAAATGATGTATATGTATATATAGAATGTATATGCATATATATAAATGTATATATATATACATGATGTATGTGTATATATATATATATAGATATTTGATGTGTATATATATAGATATTTGATGTGTATATATATATGATGTATATGCATAGATGCATATGATGTATATACATATGATGTATATACATATGATGTATATTTAAATGTGATGTATATGTGTATATGAATATATTTGGTGTATATATACATAATAAAATGTATATAGGTTTATATTTGACATACTAGTACATGTATATATATATATATGATGGATATGTAAATATATCTGATGTGTTTGTATATATGTGATGAATATATATATATGATGTGTATATATATGATGTATATGTGTATATATATGATGTATATATATGATGTATATATATGATGTATTTATTTATATATATATACATACATCATATATATATATTCTTACTTTTTATATATACATACATCATTACACACCATATATCTATATATATTTATTTATTTATTCATTTATGTATATTTATACATCATGGGGATTGAATCATATAATCTAGCCAGGAGAATCAGGGGTTAAGTCAGAAAATGGAGCGTCTGTCAACAAGAAATGGACCATCTAGAGCAGAGAAAACTAAGGAGTTCAGTCAAGATCTAACATGATCTAACCTTTTTCTGGTGGGATTTACAATATTTGAACAAATGATAAATATGGTACTATGTATGCGGGCATGGATTTGTCAGTCTCAAGTCCACCATGTGTTGAGGCTATCCTTCATCGGGCTGGATGAAAACCCTGGCCGCCAGCGATGGTTGGTTTGTCTCTTGCAACTTAAGTAACTTGGAACCCCGCAAACCATCCTTCGATTCAGAAAAAAACGTGTTCATGAATTCACAGTTCCTCATCGTTCAGTTCCCCGTTGAATGGTAGAAATCGTATTCTATACCAACCAAAAGCGTTAAGTTGTATGGTTTGCATGTTCGCCATGTGAAATCAACCATCTCCAACCATTGAAAAATAATTACCATCTGGTAATTCAACACAGCTATGGAAAGTCACCACCTTAGGTAAATCATTGAATTAAATAGACCGTTTCTATACCACAGCAAACTGTAAGAAATCACCGCTTCGGTATGAACTGTTTCAATCCATGTCGTCAAGATCCAACTTCCCAAAAAAAAACATGAATTCATCTCCACCGAACTGGTGTCCGTCTCGACCTCAAGAGGTTGGTTGGCTTCTGAAATATCTTTATATATATATACGTTGTATCTCAAAGGTCCCCAACCCCATGTATCCAACATGCCGCGAAATCCAACCCCAAGATGAGTTTGTCTAAAAATAGGGTCACCCATGTCATCCTCTGGTTGATCACTATTTTCCTACTTGAAATGCTAAATGCTAGGTACCATTTTCAAGTGTTGATTAAATTATCCCGGCCAGAGACCCCAAACAGCGTGGGGGAGTGGGAATTCAATGTTTCAAATACAAGCAACATCAGCTACGAAACAAAAAGAGATGAGTATGAGGCTAGAAGGTTTCGTATCTGCAGTAGCAGGAATGGATTGCGGCAGAGGAAGCAACTCGTATGTGTAGAATCTTCAACCAGAAGCTGATGCGAAGACATCAAAAGGAATGGCACCAAATCATCAAAGGAGAAACATTCTAGAAAGATGAAAAGACGAGACCTTCGCACAAGAACGTCCCAGGAGCATCCCAAAGAACTACTACACATGCAGCGCGAAGGCAGAGCAGCTTCAAGATCTTAACGCAAGGGCCTCTTAGGAAGGGTAATAACAATGTCATTTGGAGACCGTGTGCGGCACATGCAAAATGAAGGAAACAAGACAGTGTAAGATAGACGGAAGACAAAACAAGACGGTGCAAGGTAGACGGAAGACAGGACAAGACAGACGAAACAAACCGGCACAGGACTGAGACCCCTGTCTCGGATGCTTTGAATTCATCGGAAGCCTTTGCAGTACATCTCGCGCAACCGCAGAGATTCCACAAAAGGCATTGCAAGAGCACGGGGATGGTTGGCAGGCCACTGTTTAGCTGTGGTGCATTCTGAGCACCACCTGGCGACATGATTGAAGCGCGCAACCGCTTCACGGACAGAACCAGCTGAGACAAGGAGGCGGCACAAACAAAAACTCAGGACATGCAATTGAAAGTCACGACTAGACATCACTGTTCCACATTTCATGGCTGCTTCGGAAGGGTAACCACGGACTAAACGCGACAGTCAGTACAGAACAATGATCCCCCGCTGGGATGCGTCGAATTCTTCGTAAGAGCAAACCTATGGAAGACAAGACAGGACGGCAAAACACACCACACTACATCTTGCGCAACAGCAGAGATCCCTGCCTCGGATACATCGAATGCTGCGCATCGAATGCTGCGCAAGAGCAAGACTATGGAAGACAAGACAAGACGGACGAAACACGACTCTACAGGACAAAGATCCCCAAATTTATACGGAAAATGTTGCACCCCAAGACCGAGACACACAAGTTGTGCGAGCCTGCGCAATCGAAATGCACTTGGGGATTTCAGACGAGCCACCTTATACGGAAATTTACAGGTAAAATCCCGTGGGCCAGCTGGAGCACCCTGATCAAGCACCGGCCTTTTCACTTACCGTAAGAACCCCTCCGTGTGGACACACTGTTTGGGGAAAAACATGTTATCTGCACATGATATCCTGTCAAATTCTGATTAGAATGGTTGGTTTAACAATCGTTCATCCCCAGTATGTCGCATGTTTTTTCCAATAATATCTTCGTCTATAAGATCTGTAAATCCTCTATAAATCCCTAAAAATCCCTAGAAATCCTCTAGAAATCTTTATAAATCCTTATAAATCCTCTATAATTCGTCTGTAAATCCCAAGAAATCCATTGTAAATCCCTATAAATCCC